AAATTTATTTCAATTTCATATCTTATAGATAATATATAATATAATATCTTATAGATAATAGAAAGAACACTAAATAGAAGAACTCATAGAAAAATATTAACAAACATAAGATCAGTTAGTATCATGCAAAATATCAGTCCAAATAGTGAAAAAATTTTCAATTATATACAATGTATATTACATACCGTAAACTGGGGTAACTTAGACCACTTTTTTTTTAAATGATGCCATTTTTTTACTAGATAAGTTAAACTTAAATTGAAACATGCAAAACATAAAATCAATTATATAGGTACCAATTTAGTCTCCAGATAACTAAACTAATGTGCAAAGAATTTCAGAGTAACTTACATGATCCCTAATATCTAACCAGTCAGGTCCACCGCCATGTAAAATTTGTTCTCTTAGCCACACAAGGCTGATGAAGGCGGAGAGTGTACATGTGACGACCAGACATCCATGAAAAATGTCTGATAACAAATTATCCCTGTAGATAATAAAATAAATATATTCATCAAGGCTGATGTGGGAGTACATTTCATGGCATCAAAATTAGGGAATATGGCAAAGAAGAACATAGTTAAGCAAATATTGTTGATAGAAGTTTCCATTTTCTTACTCAACCAAATTCAAAGAAGATCATCAATTTTGATATCATATGAGAACAAAAATGAACACACTAAATAGCATAAAATTGAAATTAGATCAGATTATAGATGATTTATTACTTCTGAAACATTATTGCAGCATAACCAATTCATGTCATGGAATGTATTTATTTTGCATGCCTCTACAGGGATACCTTTCATGTTGCAACTTACGTAGAAAGTAAGTCAGTGACTTGTTCAAACAGTGATGCAACTGACACTGTGAAGAGGCACCGGTAAATTCTGCAAGCTGTCAGAGGTACAACTCCAAGCCATGCGACTGCTACAAGGGTGTAGTGGAGCCAGTATCTGCAAATTTATTTCAATTTCATATCTTATAGATAATAAAAAGAACACTAAATAGAAGAACTCTTAGGAAAATATTAACAAACATAAGATCAGTTAGTATCATGCAAAATATCAGTCCAAATAGTGAAAAAAATTTTTCAATTATATAGTACAATGTATATTACATACATAGTATATCAAATTAATCACACAATTTAAAAATGCCCAATGATGTAACTTACTAAATGCATTATTACAGCTGCTAACAAATAGATTATATAATTTTGATTACTAGCCTTCATAACCATATTGTAATTTGTTGGCATATTTACCTTATTGCTGTTCCCATACTTCTGGCTAAGCCAGATAAAATATCTGCTATTGGCAATCGATTGGGCATGTCGGGGGAATAAACTGAAAAAAAAAGGAAAAAAATATAAACCTCTGTGCTGAGAATATTCAGGTAAATATTGGGTGACACATCACATGAAATAATTCATCAGTAAAGCTAGGTATATATTTTGATGTACATATTTTATGACATTTCATGGAATAAAAAATTGCTCCAATGTGTGGCTAATACAATGCCAGTATATATAAAATGATTTCTGTTAATAAAGATGCCTTATATACATTCACAAGATTACTATATACTAATAAATTCCAAGAAATTAATATTAAAGCACCACTTACTTGGAGTAAAGCTGAATCTGTGTTTGCATAGCTCGCAATACTCTTTTCGAGAGTACCGAAGCCATTGTACTAAACAGTCTTGGTGAATAAACTTTATTGATCCTGTGCAAATGCATGGATGGAAGAGAGGCCTGTCAGCCGTTGCTTCAGAGCGGCAGACCCGGCATATATCTGCAATAAATGGCAGTCATTAACACCAAACTCCAAAGAAAAATTACATTTAATTTGGAATTTACTGTGCATGAAATACCAATTCCAAAACCATGAAAGTGAAATAATGAAATGATCAAGAACTTCCAATTACCAAACCAAAGATTGAAGAACAATATGGGCCAAGGACAGTGAATTCTCTACCCTGTACAAGCTCATCACTTAGGAGCAGTGGCTGAAAGCCAATACCTGATCAATAACCTGAAAATGCTAATAAAACCCCAATCTATATGACAGAGATACCTTCCTACTTCGCAGTTGAGATTAAGTGGTTCATGTAGCCAATGAGAAACCTTAAGAGCTGTCAATATCTTTTCTGAAAGGCAACATTTCACAGGATAATATTTTGTCTAGATTTCATCATTCAAAAATCATAATTTGTAGTTGAAAATTGAAATATTTGTCAGAATTACCCTACATCACATGAAATGTTTTGATTGTGGACATTCAAATGATTGAGTGAATTTTATAACAAAATATTATTGACACTCTAAATCAGTAAGGTGACTGATGACTTCTTAATTTTCATTGTTTTCTACAATTGCTGCAATAATTTAACTGAATTTCATGTTCTGAACTAAGAGGTGAAAAAAAAAGTTTCAGATAGGAGGCAGAAGTTTCCTAGAATTGCAGGTAAAAACAATTGTTTCAAGCGCAATTTTTAAAATTTCTGTTATAAATAGGCAATTTTTCAAGTTTTTAACTGAATAAATGGGGAAAATGCCATAGGATGCCTAATTGAAAAATTAGGTAGAAGCCAAGTATGAATTGGACAAAAAAGCCCATAAATCTGGCCAATTTCACACATTTATAACATCCTCTCAATTTTTTCAGTAAAATATAATAACAATCAATTTTCATAATCACCAGTGAAACAATCCTTTTCACTCACATCTATGGGACACTTCTGCGCAGTAGGTATTCCAATTTTGAGCACCATCATATTGTATATAATCCAGACAGTAAAGTATGGCACAACATAGGTTGAAGACGCCAACTTCATTGCCCCAAAGACGCCAAGGTGTGCCAAAGACACCAAGGTATAATCAAGGTGAGCAGCATGACAATGCTTCTCAATATATTGAAATTTATGTTTGATATGACTGATGGGCAATGTTTGGCATGAAAACCATGAAATGAACTCAATGAAAAAGGCTCAAAACTGTCTCTTAATACCCAGTTTGATGGTACACAGGCATGGAATATACCGTATCTACTTGCTGAGCCGCAACTGAATTTTTTGAGCCACGGTTTTATGGATTTGCCAGCCGATTCCATTTATTTGAGCCGTGATTCAATTTTTTTTGTGCCATGAATTCCTTATCTCGGTCATGAATACCGTCAACTGGGGCTACTCGGGACAGATTTGATCATTTTTTTGTTAATAACTGTTAATAACTTCTTGCGATGAAACATTTCATAAACAAATTTAGGCTCATTTTATAGCTCTTTGCAAGGGCTATCAAATGGCATTGTCAAAAAAATTCCATATGCTATTCATAAGGTGCCAGACGCAAAATAAAGATTGTCCCAAGTAGCCCTG